GATCCTGAAACCGGCCCCAGCGCGGATCATCGCAGGCTCTAGGATACACAAAAGACCGCCACGAAACCAAAACGTTTTACCCCCATTGAACCCCCTATCGCTACAGAAGCCCTCTGAGGAACCGACTGACGCCTTACGAAATATCCGACAGAAAATGAACGATATAAAGTTCCTCACAGCTAATAGCTTTGTTCAATTCTGTAAAGATCAGGAAGCTTATATCACAAAAGTAACCTGGGATGAATTAGATAGAGCTTGCGAGTTACACCGTATAATAACAAACGATCCTATTCAACTACGTCGCAGTATCATGGAAAGCGATATCAAGAAGTTCATGGAAAAGACCGACCGACCCGTACCATCTACAACAGAGATTCAGAGCAAGCTACCACCCTGGCTTCGCGATCTGTTCGCTGGGTTCTTACCCTCCCTCGCCAACGAGCTCCCGCCACGACGCTCTTGGGATCACAAGATCGAGATCATGCCAGGCAAAGAGCCCCCGTACAACAAAGGTCGCCCAATGTCCCCAGCCGAGCTCCAAGTCGTTCGCAAATGGCTCGATGATAACCTAAATAAAGGATTCATCCGCGAATCCCGCTCCCGATCGGCCGCCCCACTCCTCCTAGCTGCAAAGCCCGGGGGGGGCGTTCGAATTTGCCAGGACTACCGTGGACTGAACAATGTTACTATTAAGAACCGTTATCCGCTGCCACTGATCAAAGAAACCCTCGATGCCTTATGCTATGCTAAAGTTTATACCAAATTGGATATCATCGCCGCGTTCAATAAACTACGGATCGCGGAAGGTCACGAATGGAAGACCGCTTTTACAACTCGTTTCGGCTTATTCGAATCCCTGGTGATGCCTTTCGGCCTTTGCAATGCTCCTGCCTCGTTTCAGAACTATATCAATCATGTTCTTTTTGATCTCCTGGATAAGAATTGTACAGCGTACCTAGACGATATCTTGATCTACTCTGAGAATGTTACAGATCATCGAAAGCAAGTTCGCGAAGTCGTGCAGAGACTCATTGACGCTGGATTACAAATTGACATTGACAAATGCGAGTTCGAAACGAGGAGAACGAAGTACCTCGGCCTGATCATTACTCCTGGTGGTATCGAGATGGACCCCGACAAGGTTAAGACTATCCTCGAATGGAAGTCGTTAACTAAGCTAAAAGACCTCCAACGCTTTCTAGGGTTCGCCAACTTCTACCGACGCTTCATTCGCAACTTTTCTAAAATCACGGAACCTTTAAACCGCCTGCTGAAAAAAGAGAATATATGGAATTGGACTGCTGATCAAGAGAATGCCTTTGAAAACCTGAAGCATGCCTTTGCCTCCGCTCCAGTCCTTGCAATGTTTGATCACCACCGCCGCACAGTTGTCGAGACAGATGCTTCCGACTGGGCTGCGGGCGGAGTACTCTCTCAGTATGACGATGAGGGCCGACTACGCCCGGTTGCATACTTCTCCTCAAAACACAGCGCTGCCGAATGCAACTACGAGATCTATGATAAGGAACTACTAGCTATCATCAAGTCCTTAGAAGAATGGAGACCCGAACTATATGGAACTCAAGAGCCGTTCGAGATCATTACTGATCATAAGAATCTAGAGTACTTCACATCGACAAAGATGTTGAATCAAAGACAAGCTAGATGGGCTGAATTCCTGGCTGGTTTCAACTTTCGTATCATATACAGACCGGGTCTTAAAGCAGTTCGCCCCGATGCACTGAGTAGGAAAGCAGAAGATCGCCCTGTACACGCCGACCCTAATGACGACCGAATCAAGAATCGCTTACAAACAGTCCTCCCGAAAAGAGTATTCGACACCGCTGCATTCAAGAACCTCATCCGACAAACAAATAACGACATCGACCTCACCGCGGCGCCTATGGGTATGATCATCCCCGATACTGAGAAGCCGATCGACGATCTTATCGATAAAGCATACGAATCATCCGAATTGGTCACTACCATGCGTAAAACACTTCAGAACCCAACTGCTCGCCATTGGCCGCTATCGATCCGAAAAGACCTCCGAATCGCTCTTCAAGACTGTAGATTAATCAATAATAAAATTTTCTATCGCGACCGCCTCTTTGTTCCCCCCTCCGCTGAGCTTCGCACCCAGATCATATACCGACGCACTCCACTGGTCCGGCAGGACATCCCGGTCGAGTTAAAACTATTGATCTCGTCTCCCGCACATACTGGTGGCCCAATATGTCGAGGGAAATCGAAACTTACGTACAAGCCTGTCAACTCTGCTTCCGAACCAAAGCCTCCCGTCTTGCCGCACCCGGATTCCTAGAACCCCTGCCAGTACCATTCCGCCCCTGGTCCGATATCTCCATTGACTACATTACACCGCTACCAATCAGCGAACGCTATGGCAAAAAGCATCAACATATCGTCACAGTTGTCTGCCGCCTAACGAAAATGCGTCATTTCATCCCGGTTATAGGACTGTCCGCAGAGGAGCTCGCCGATCGGTTCGTCGAAAAAGTCTACTGCCTACACGGTGCACCTGACAATATAGTATCCGATAGAGGTTCACAATTTATATCAGAATTCTGGAAGCACTTATCCGAGCGTCTATCGATCACTTTGAAACGATCCTCCTCGTTCCACCCCGAGTCCGACGGACAAACAGAGAGGATCAATGCCATGGTAGAACAATATCTTCGGGCTTTTATGAACTTCCACCAAGATGACTGGTACGATTGGCTCCCACTCGCGGAGTTTGCGCTTAATAATACCACCTCAGAGACTACCGGCGTATCCCCATTCTTCGCTAACTACGGTTTTCACCCACGCCTCGGCGTTGAGCCCTCTTCACCTGTTCCCCCAAACCTATCATATCAACGCAAACGCGAGTTCCTAAAGGCCAACGAGATTGCGGACCGATTTGATATCATCCTAACAAAATTGAAAGCCCTAGCCGCTCAATCCATTCAGAGATATGAAGATTACGCTAACAAGACTCGCACCGACGCCCCTCTATACAAAGAAGGTAACAAAGTATGGGTTAGTACTAAGAATATGAAAACCAATCGCCCGATGAAGAAAGGTGATGACAAATGGGATGGCCCCTATAAGATTCTAAAAGTTTATAAACGAGCCTGTCTACTCCAGCTCCCCACTAGTTTTAAGATCTTTCCAGTATTCCACAACTCATTACTCCGACCACTCCACCGCTCACCTGGACTAGCCGGTCAAGAAGCGATCAACGAAGCCGAATCCCGTCGAAACCAAGGCCGTATCCTAGAAAGAGATGACGAAACGAACGAGGAAACCGAGCGGTGGGAATTCGATAAACTACTTGACTGCCATAACGAGGACGGATTTCACTACCAAGTCAAATGGAAACATCACCCAGCATCTTGGCAACCCGCCGAAGACCTTCGCGGCCAAGAAGACACGATCATCGCTTTCCATTTAGCAAATCCAGATAAGCCAGAACCGCCCGCTTGGGTAGGCTTCAAAAGATCTACTACTCCTGATCCCCCGCTAGTACTTACACCAAGCGCACCCCCGAATCGAGGCCGAGGCAGACCTAAAAAGCTCCGGCAATTGATTACTACTCCCAAGAAAGTTCATTTTAATCCAATAGTAGAAATTAGAGTATTTTAGTGTTATTTTGTTTTCTAAAAGGTCAATTGGTATTGCGATCGTGGACCGATCGCCTTGAGCGGGGGGTACTGTCACGGCGCCAACTACATGATCTGTAGTTGCCTTCGTGCCTCAGGCACAGCATACTAGCGCGCCCTACTTCCTATAAGTAGGGCTTCACTCTTCCATAGCTCTTCTACCCTTATGGTACAATATAAGTCTTTACCCGTACCTTGACAGTATATAATTAGATCTAAAAATTAGATATTAATTATATGATTTCTATATTAATCTTTTATAATCCAATCAAATTTGAAAGCTTTCTTTTAAATACTTATATAATTAAAAAGTATACAACTCTTGTTTTAATAAGATTAAGCCTTTATAAAAAAGTATATAACTCTTGTCTTAATAGAACTAAGCTTTTCTGAGAAAGCTTTCTAATACTTTAAAGGGATATAAATTAATAAAATTTGTACTAAAAGCAATAATCATTAGCCTATTAAAATAAAATAAAGACTTCAAAATCTCTACTTTCTATACTAAAAATAATACAATTTGACTAATATTATATATTATATTTAATTGATGAATATACGATATTATATATCGTTAAATCGCTCAACCCTATGACCATGTCACTGTGCGGGGAAGCGTTAAATACAGAAAAGGATAGTCGGATGCAGATTGTTGCAGCCAGTGATTTATGGAAGTTGAGGGGGAATTCCAGTTCTGTTCGCTAAGGTTCGTATAAATTGATATGAAAATACCTCAGCCTCGAGCTCAGCCTCCTCCCATCAATCGTTAACCTTATTCGACTGCGCTAGTGGGAATCATGTCGGTAGACGGGATTTGCTCACTTCCGGCGGTTCTTGATGTGCGCGATTTGTTTTGATGGAGAATTTTATCTAATTGCCATGTGGAAGAGAACGGCATCCGATCAGTTTTGTGCTTGGTGGGGGCTTTTCAATCGCATGCACTGTCAAATGCAAGGATTTTGCTGGATGCCTTTTGCGGCAACAGAAAAGTTTCTGTTGATGGGTTAGGTTCCAGAAAATATATATTATTATATTAGTACGAAGTATGCCTTTGAATTTCGATGTTTGAGCGGGGAAACGGTAAACTGGAATTTCCGATCACGTTTTTGGAGTTGTGGAAAATGATTCCATGACAGCTAGCTTACATGCTAGATAGATATGCACATCAAAAATCTGATCCGATGATGAAAACATAGTTGGGAACTATATGACAGATATAGAAATAGGAATCATGGCAGTTGGAAATGGATAAACAGTAAAAGAGCAAACTAATCCAGCATCTGGAAAAATCGATTAGTCTGCATTAATAGAGCCGCCAGGACCTCTAAGCAAATCTAGCTAATTAGCTCCAACTAAGTTCTTCTTCGTGCCAGTGATCGTGATCGTGATCGTGATAGTGATAGTGATGGTGATGACGATGTCGATGTCGATATCGATGAATGTTGTCGTAGGTGAGTGTACATATGATTCGATACATCCAATAAGATACAAATCAACTTCGTGCGTTGCTCTGCTGGCGTTGTGTAAAATAAACTTTGGGAGTGTTCTCACGTTGATGGAGGAAACAGATACCATTGAGCCCAACGATTGAGTCTCTTGGTTCGCTGTTTGTCGAGACTGTATGGTCAGCTGTATGGTCACAGGTCAGTAGGAACACTATGCTCAGTAGATTGCTAGACAATCTCACGATCTCATGAAGCTCATTAGATTTAGCTCTGCCCATGCGAGCGGAGACCTGATCGGAATATGAACCGGTTATTACGGACTTTTTTGATTTTCCATGAAAATTCTTGAAGTATAGCTCCACAGTACTACTCTGTATGATTCACCGCGGTTGGATACTAAGATGTGTCAGCCCTGTAGGAATGACATTCATGCGTGTAACGAAGAGAAATTGAGCAAAAAATACCTTAATTTTTGCTCGGATATTAGGATATAAGGATATATTCCAAAGTGGTTATGCAACTTAAACTTGATTACCCACTGATTATTTATCAAGCCATTGCACTCCGTAGATGTTTTGTCATCATCGACCATCATACCATGGTCAATGCTTGATGTAAGGGAGATTGAATTGAGTTCTCGAAGCTTTTGGATCTTTCAAATATGTCAAAATATGTCACATTTATTCTACGCCCAGGTATCTACTTCCAGATACTTTAAGTGTTCACGGGTGAGGTTGGGTTTGAGCCTTGATGTCGGCTCGAGGTGGGATGGGATAAAATCATGCTTACGAGATCAAAGTATCATCACCACCACACCGTGTCCAGAGTACGTGTAGATTCTCCTTCTAGAATCTAATACGTTCAGAAGAGGACATTAAAGCAGCAGCACTCCATTTCTTTTTGCAAGTCTAACCTTAATGCCATCTATCCCTAGCAGCTCAAGAGTCAATTCTGACTTCGGTGACATGTAGTCACGAATTAGGGTTTTTAAGTTCCCCTTTGGTCTAATTCATGAATCTGTCTATGCCCAACGTGTAAATTACGATGGACGACGTTTATACTTCCATTGAAAACATACCCTATTGGTCCTAATTGATTCATTCTTATCATTCAAAATGGGTACCACCAATGCCTTGTTCTGTTTGACTTTCGTGAACCTTTTTTTCTCACCCTTCACCCCTTCATTCCAACATTTTGGAGTGATGCGAGAAGCGAAAAATGTAATTCCTTTCTATTGCCATACATTCATTTATATTGATACCGAGTTACTTCCAACACCAATCCTGGTCATCTCATCCGTCCCCAACGTCGAACCTGAATACACGAAAAGTCCATATCCCGCAATCCATTCGATGCCAATCTTGAATCTACTCTACGGAGTATAGGAGCTTGGGAGAACCCATGCATGATTACTTATTTTACTTTATTTGACTGCGGGGACTTAAGGATTCAATACGAATGACTGGGATCCAAGAGTCTAGGACTTTATCAGCAAGGGGACGTAACGCTCTTTTTCACCGGACCATCTCACATAATCAAAAATATCACCCGCCGTTTCGGTCGACGGGTATAAGGTTTCCTTCCAGGTCCGCCATTAGATATCAAAAGGCGCCTAGCACTTGGGGTTCCCATTTTTAATTATTTTCATATAATTAACGGTCGACCTTTCCAAGTGATACATAGCTTATTATCACGCATAATCTCACAACTGCATGTCTTTCCAACCTTACAAATCTTTAACTTCAATCTTACTCCAGTAGTATCTTGTTAGTTTCTATACACTCATAAAAGGTTTCCATAGCTTTGTTCTGGAAACATTTCTATTTTTTTTGAAAGTCCATATTGATGATCACTCAATTCAGAATTTCAATTTCAAGATGACTAATTCCGACGACATCAATCATCCAAAGGGTTCAAAACATGTGGTACGAAAGCGCAAGAGAGAGAGTAAGTCAAGTGGACAATTAGTTCCCACATCTCCCAATGAAGCTGGCAAACGACACAAAAGAGCTACGAGAGCATGTGAGCGTTGTCGCAATAAAAAGATAAAAGTATGTACATCATCGTATGAAGAGATTTGTCTTTCAAGTTCTAATCATACGACAGTGCGATATTGAACGTGATATTGCTTGCAATGCGTGTGTCGATGCCAATGTGATATGCGAGTCAGGCAATGGAAAGCACACGGAAATCAAAAAGTATCCTCCAGGGTGAGTAAATTTCTACAGTCGTACAAAACGGCATCTGACATGTGAACTCAGATACACTGAGTGCCTAGAACATAGTAACCAGGCCATGATACTTGTTACCGACAAGCTCTGGCGCATGGTAAAGAATAGAGAGGAATGGACTTTTGCAGAGCCTAGGATGAAAGATGGAGGGAAAGGACCTGTGGTTATTCATGATATAGCTCAGGCACTCGGATGTATACGCAATGCACCTGGACTTCCAGAAAACTTCATTGAGGACGCTCCAGCTCTACTGGCTCGATTATCAGCAGAATCTTTAGCAGAAGAGAGATCGCAACTTGACCAGGGGATCCAGACCGAAGCCACCAGGTCTAGCGAAGGGGCAGCTTCACCAGAATCAATCGAGGAAGAAACTTCCCCAGAAACTCCACCAACATTCTCCAAATGGATACCTTTACCGATGTATCAGTCAGACTCATTTCCTCCTTTGCCCGGAACAGCGCATCGTAGTTTAGATAAGCCTTCTATTCAACCCCAGCAGCAATCGGTAAACCAAGATCGAAAACTAGACAACTCTAGAATGTCACATGGACCCACGATTAAGTCAGAAAGTACGAGCCAATTTTCAAGCGTCAACATGCTTGTAGGAAACATGATGAATGATCCATCAAACTTTCCGGCGAGGGAATCATTCAGCAACCGAAATACCGCTGCGGTGGATGTCCGTCGAGCACCTGGACTGAAGATAGAACCACAGCCTTATAATTCTCAAGAGCAACCAGCGTTATCTGCGTCGTCTACAGTATCATCGTTCTCTACTACGCATCATACAAACTCACCATTACAGTCTATCAACTCAACATTCTCACCTGTTTACCAGGCAAGCACACCATTATCATATTCTGAACATTCTAATCAATTCCACGCTTCGTCATCTTCATCGCCATATCTTTCTCACTTGCAAAAAGATCCATGTCTATCCCCTAGTCCGGCTCTTGACGACTTCTCAAACCCACAATTCTACGACCCCGACATGTTATTATTCAATACCCAAGGTGCCGGCAACTCTTTCGATGAAGCATCTTACTTGTCGTCGAATGATCTCATGTTTAGCTCGGGCTTCGACGAACCAGTCGGGGACTTTTCGTCTGTAGATGAATCTTACCGCCAGGTTTTGTCAAATTATTAAAACGATGAGTATTTTTTCAAGGCAGGACGGTTTGCGATTTACAATGTAATTTTTCGGAGGGTTTCCTAGTAATCACCTGAATCTACCGTGTTCACCATGGGAGCGGTTTCATTCTCACTTTGCTATGGCTTAAGACGGAGGATTTAACAAGGTCACGATTCATGGATTAAGGAGTTATAGGAACAGGGATATATATACCAGGGCGTTATCAATTGGTTGAATGTGTGGGATCCCAGGATTAACTTGGGAATGATAGACGACATGTATATTTTAGAGTTGCGCAAAGCGACCATGTGGACTTGGGTTTCACTGAAGAAGAATAGCTAGCCAGGACTCTTTTAGGTCCTGGGGGGAACAATTTCAGCGCTCTTTCTTAGAGCCGAGAGAAAGTCAATTCGGCGTCTATCTAATAGACGATCCTTCATCTTCTCTATCACTTGGTGGTAACGTGTCAGTCTAAAAACGTGATGTGAGTTGTTGATCTCTCTAAAATCGAATTTGGGAAATAGAGCGGAGCTGCGTCCAGTGAGTCGGGTCTTTAGTATATCCCAGGATATCGATATATCAACATCCATATCAATACCAATCTCGACGATTGAAGTACTTGGTTCACCGTATCTCCAAAAAACTCACCCATTGCAAAGATAGACTCTCCTCAACTCCTGCCCTGAAGTGGGAAATAGCCGGTACTTCGTAGACATCCCAGGAAAGCTTACATGTGCAAACACACTCCGCGGTGATTATTAAGTCGGTAAGGTTGTTTACCTTGCTGGTTTAGTTGTCCCTAGGACGTTGTGGGATACCAATCAGAACCCGACGGTGCGGAGTTTATGCATGTCCGGCATATACAAGGATGTGAATGTCCACAGAATGTCCACACAATGTCCAAATGTCCAGCGACGGGTGAGTAAGCTTTTTGCTCGTCTTTTTGTGCATAAAATTTAGTGCTCGCGCGCGCGTTGAATGAAGTCCGTCTTCATTTACCTGGGTAGGTAGTTATGAAATTATTATGTATGTGGCTTGCGGAGGGATTCGGACAGAAGTGTCTTTCTCCTCTCCATTGCTCATAATGAGTAATTATGCAAAGCTTCTTGTAGACCGAGTGCCTCCGCCCCGCTGTATCCGTTCTATCCATTGACCTGGGTAAAAATCAAGACATCATATGATATGATCTTTTATATCACAATCTACAACCTACGAACCACAGACCGCGAACCACGAACCATGATTACATCAACCATCAAAGTCTGTTCCTGACCCTGGTTCAATGCGGGATTTACTTTACCTACTCTGTACAGAATTCCATACATGGGCATATAGATCGTGTCAACGTCAATCGAAGACTCGACACATTGCGAGAAAGCAAGAAGGAAGTGCCGAATTACCGGTCGGATATGCTATTTGATGTTCCCGAATTCAGTGGTGGGTGGGATGCGATGGAGGTGGAGGTGGAGGTGGATGGTCGATGGTCGATGGTGGATGGTCGATGGTAGATGGTCGATGGTGGATGGTGGATGAGTAAGTTACTGATATTATGGAGTCCTGAGTGTGTGATGAACGAGAACTTGTTTATTAAACACATCCATCCTTCACACATTTCTTCACATCCGCGGATATAACAGAGTAATGTGGATATGCATTCGAGAAAACCAAACGTGGCTTCTATCAGATGATTTTACAGAATCATTTTCAATGGATGGATATACGATTATTGATCATCTATTTAGGTTCTGCATCTACAGCGCAAATTAACGTTTAACTTACGACGTATTCGTATATTCGTTTGTACGCACTTATTCAGCGTGTTGTATACCCCTTTGAGCATAGATTCCACAGCACGGAGGATGTGTGCGACAAACAAGATCACAATACCAATCAACAAACGGACGAATCCCAAAAG